CTGATTTTCAGTGATGGGCCCAATCTTAGATCCATAGGCCAACATTAGAGCCATTTCCCCTATATAGATTTTAATTAAAACAAATGCATATACAAGATCCTTGTTTTGACTACAATTGAGCAAAACATAAGCTCATTTAAGGTGAGAGGCAATCACGGTTACCACTACACCACCGGTGCCGCTCTAGCTCATTTGATTTATCATCATCTGGGAAATTGCAGTTTCAAAAAGATAAGGCCTGTACTCAAAAAAATGCACCAGACAAAAGTGTTCGCCAAAAATTTATGTTAAGTCGGATTTTCTTGAAACTTTCAGGGAATGAACTAATACATATGGATTATGTTTTGGCATAACTAATTTATTCAATTTCATTTCCATCGCTGAAAGCCCGCACCTTTCCCTTAAGACCCCTCGTTACATTTTGTGCAATGGTGGAGCCGACCTTTTTGGTCACTTTCATCCATTCTTTCTTCAACTCCAGCTCGTTCTTAAACACCTTGGACGATTTTCAAACTTAGGCCTTCATTATGGCCCAAAATCTTTCCACCGGACGAATCTCTGGTGAATTTGGGGGGTTGACGGTTTTTGGTACAAAAACAACGTTATTGTCTCTGTACCAATCCAACGTCGATCGCGCGTAATGGCATGATGCCAGGTCCGGCCAAAATAATGTCTCGCCTCCGTGGGACGGCAGGAAGGGCAACAGACGCTTCTGGAGGCACTCGGTGCGGTAAATTTCGCTGTTGATGGTACCCATTGTGATGTACGGTTTACTCAGTTTACCGCATTGGTATATGGCCTGCCAGAGCAAGTATTTTTTGGCGAATTTGTCCACTTTCTTCTTCCTTATGTCTTCTGGAACATCAGACCGTGATTTGGCAACGTAGGTTGATGTAGGTTTCGTCATCCATAACCACACACATCGGTTTCGTTAACCACTCTCGATACAGCTTCCTTGCGCGGGATTTGGCCGCCATGTTTTGTTGATCACGCCGGTTCGGTGCCTTCCGGACCTTGAATACACAAAGCCCAGCTCGTTTCATGGTTTGCTGAACCAACCAGGCCGAACACTTTGCCTTCAGAGCCGCGTCGCGAATCGAAAGGTTCGGATTACGCTTGAAATAATCCAACACCTTCCGGGCCTTCACAGGGTCAGATGTCTTCGATTTTCTTCCACTTCCAGCCCACCGCTCGGTCGTCTGGGACTCCTTAAATGATTTTACCACCCGAGACACAGTTGTATGGGTGATTCCCACTTGTCTTCCGATCCATCTCATGGTCGAAGTCGTATTTTCCATGACGGCAATTTTCTTCTTGTTTCGATGACATCTCAATAACCACTGAACCGATTGTTATGAAATTTCGCACATGTTAACAGATCACTTCAAACTAGTTATACCCAGATTTTCATCAATTTTTACCCACGGATAAAAAAGTTACACACGGATAAAAATGGTGCATTTTTTTGGAATACAAGCCTTATACCAAAAAGATGTGTTTTACTAAAATTGCCCACACTTCATACAAATTATGTCAATCAAACTCAAATTAATTTAAATAAGTCTTGACCAACCTGCAGTCAAAATTTCAGGAAATTTCATGAACTTTGATTATTTGAATAGTTCAACAGTAATCTTAAAAACTTGTTCCTCATGTTCATAAAAACTAATTTAAACGACTTGCCAAAATACAACGAAATAGTTCTGTTTGAAAAATATCTAGGGCATGTTCGACCTTCAACATAAGTCCAGCAGATACAGGTGACTTCTAAGAAAAGAGCTAAAAATTATGCAGAGGACTTTGGGAGGAATCCAAACCATGCAGATCAGATGCACAGGTTGTATTGAAGCAAACATTTCGCAGAGCTATTCAATTTATTTCTGATCTTATCTTGGAAGTGTTCTCGACTTACTCTTGAAGTGCTTTGCTCATATCATCTAAATACCGGATATGTTTTGGATGATTCCGAGACTAGTTTCCGAACTCATGAAAATCAAACTCTGTTCCCTGAGGACCTCCTAATCTGACTACCAAAATATTCAGGATTTGTTCTCAAACGCCTCTAGACTTCCAAATCCCCACAGTCAGTGATAATTTTTCTTAGGTGTACACTAAACGTGTATCTAGAGATACTCGTACCTGCTCCATAAATCAAAAAATCATACTTCTGTAGGCATCTACCAGTCACCAAATTTCTCCAGACTGATCGCTTTAAATCTCTCAACGTGCCCTCAACGGGATTCTGGATTAAGTTACGATACCATAAAATTTACATACCTTGACGTGGCAAATCGATGTGATTGACAATGTCAAGGGGACGTTTCAGAAGTCTTCCGGAACATGTCCGAACAAAAATTTGCATTCATTTGACAATTCTATCGCAAGGCAAATCTGTGAACTTGAACACATTTTGGAGGTATTACTTCTGGTATTTTACCTCTTATGTCAGGTTTGCCCCACCGACTTTCGTTGTCTGGATCAGAATTAGGTATTCACAAATTATTTTCTCCTGCTCGCGTGTCCGCCATTTATTATAATAACTAAATTACTTATTAGTTCGGAATTCGTAAAAGATTGTTGAGCAAAATTGAAACGGTTGCTTTTAAAAGTCTACATTTTGTCAGAAAATAAACTGATCCTATTTTGATGCCTAATCCAGGTTGAAACAAACTAGGCAAGAGAAACCCATTCTTAAGCAGTTGTCTTCACATCACCTGGGTTCCACGGAATGAACATGCAAAAAAAATCGTGAAAGTGTGTTCTGTTATGTATTGCTCAGTAGTAAACAAGAGTGAAGGCAAACACTTTGTACGCACCATTTTCGAAAATAATTCAATTTGCGTTCAATCGATTTCCAAGCTTTACTGATGGTTCGATTATTTTTTATTTTTTTCAATAAATCCCATTTTCGTCGAAGTCATTTTTGTTCTTTTCCTACTTTGTTTTCACGATTCTCACAGTTACATTGCAGGAAATGTCAAAAGTGCGAAAATGCTCCAGCTCATGGTTCTTTAAAAGCAGAAAGCTGAATTTGACAATGTTTCATGTTGGGAAAAGGACATTTTTTTTCGTTTTGCTGCATGCCCTCGGCATTTCTCCCTCCGAGGCTACATCGGACGCCTTCCCAGCATAACGCGATAACGAAGGAAAACACTAATGGGAACCGAGATACGGTATCGTCTGGGGTTTTGCGGTGTTATTTTTTCGTCTTGCGCTTTTTGCTTTCCATGTGCTTTTTCCCTATTTTTCGCCATTCTACCGATCGGATCGATTGAGGGTATTGAAGGGACACATTAAAAGTAACTGACGACTTTTTTTATGGAAAATAAATGGCTTTTCGTCGATAACAAGGGCACCGGTTCGCGAAGGAAGGAAAATATTGGCTCTAGATTTGTATGGTTTGCTTGTTATCGGCAAGTGCTCAAAAATGTACATGCTTTTTAGAGCGTTAGTCCAGCTGCTAGAAGCAGTGTGAGGCTTTGCTTATGATGCTATCTTGATTGATGGTTTAAATCAATTTTAAATTAATCATGTTATTTTATCCTCGTTGTTGAAACGAGTCACGTACAGTGAATTGGCACATTTTTCATGCAGTGTTTTCTTTATCCCGACTTGAGCGTAAAGTCATGTGATGTGACAAATAAATCTGATTAATGCAAAGATAATTTCATTGATGAAACGTTTATGTCACAAAATTTGACATTTGTTGGATTGATAATTTCAAGATTTTGAGGATCTGTGTAAAAGTTTATACTACCCAATTAGATTGAACGAAAAGCATGTTCTGTTCAATATTTATATTTCAAAAAGTCCTTTTTTATTATAGTCATTTTAACACTCTTGGGTAAAACGCGACTTGTCCGGGGATGAAATTTGAACTCGTGAATTTGACGTAAGAGGTGATAATTTTTCCAGACCAAAACTTGTCCCGGTGTAACTTATTATGAAAAGAATCGATCAACAAAGATAGGTCTCTTTTTCCAAAAAAAATCTAAGCAGCACTGCTGATTTGGTATCCCAACTGTTGGTAAAGTAATGGAATAGTTATTAAAAATGGTAATGGCTTCAATGGTATGAGCTTTACACAAGATTCCCTAATCACCGTATGAAACAAAAAAACACATGATAAGGATTATGCACTTTACACATATATTTACACGAGATACAACTCCAAACACGTGGCTAATAACATTTCATCATAAAAAAACCAACATGCCTAATTGTATGTAACAATCACGATCACACCCTATGTAGATATGTACATAACCATGCGAATGAATGTGTAGCAGTTGATAGTGCTTTGTGTCATTCAGTTAATTGCTTCCCGTTACGATAACCAGCTGACGATGGTGATGGTGATGATGATGATTACGACGACGATTACAATGCTTATACGATCGCCTAGAATATACACGATAGTAGTCGCTTCGTTAACAAAGGTCAAATCAAACGATGTCAACTTAGTGTTCATTTCTATTCATAGGGACGCCGCAGCGTAAATATACCGACACATATAAAATAGATACGCTATATAAATTCTGCCCTCACGCTATAGTATCTCATCATACCGCCCGCTGCGTTGCCTAGAAAGTCAATCCTCATAAAATGCATATCGAGTGCTTGCAATCAACATTCACCATTCGATGAGCTCATAATCTCTGTCGTTGATCGTTATGCTCTGCCGTTACTAAATTTATCTGTTTTCGGTTAATGTCTATTCGGCACACAGTCAGTGTCTATTCCATAATCGACTTGTATGTGTACATAGAAAGCCGTATATCGTAAATATGTCCGTTTCGATGTGCATCCGTTTCTATACGTTGTTCTATATATTTCAAAGGCAGAAAGCAGAGAATAAGAATGCTGTTTCGCAAAAAAAACTAACACACAAACTATCCCTGCCAGCAACGCTACTACTCGTTCATGTCAAAATTTGTTCCTGAAATTTAATACATAATTGGCAAATCTCATACTAACATTACGTAATAACATAATAAAAGATCCCGTTCCAGGTAAAGTCGATGAAAAGGCGACGCAGTTGCACGCGATAGCGTCGTTAAAAGTGCTACTGGATGCCACCAAGCCGCAACGGGGAGCTGCCACGTCGTCCGCGGCGAATCATGTTAAGATTAATTTAAGAGAAACCACCTTAGCTAGTGATCGTCCAAATGGAAATATAGATACGACAATTGATTCGGTAAGTGTCCCCATGACAGTGATACATTTTCGCCATTATCAAAACAGCTGCCGCAATTAATTGATGGGTGGGAATGTTAAATCGGTCCCCACAGTGCTTCAATATAGGCGGATTGACCTCGCGGAGAACAGCTCCCGATAACGCTGCACATGTCATGTACCAGGAAACCGCAACCGTACTGGATTATATAGGCAGGACTACCCACATACGATGAGGACCTACCGTTCTCGCATTGTGCAACCGTTGTCGTCGATGACGGCTTTTTGTGGCGTGGGGTTGGGGGGAATGTTGGAAATAGCTACACTGCTAGTAGACTTGGGTACTCTGGGTGTCATGGATATTTATAGGTACACGAACAAAATAATTGGAAATCTTCCAAAACATTTGCAAATATTTCCACTTGATGATTTATTTCATATCTGTCAATCCATCAATGTGCTTTACGGAGATTTTCACTGGTATTGCTGAAAATGTTGAAAGCCGTCTAAATTATGTGTTGCACTGTGTTATGCAGGGCCGTAAAGTCTATAAAAACATATGCCGACTCCACCGGCTCCGAGTCTGACCAATATTCCGGCTCAAAATATTGTAAAGGAAAACTGTTTGATTAAATTCACGTTGCCGCGATACAAATATGACGTACAAAAGTTTTCGATTGTTTACCCATCCCCCACTGCGTCATGCATTATCCAATACATATTACAAGAACCTCCTTCCCCCTCAAGAGTGGACGTTATATTTGAATCGCCCGCTATCAGTGCACATCACGTGCCAACCGCCAAATTCGCATACCTGGGGTCCAACCCCCAGCACGGTGTGTTTGCTAGTCAAGTAAGTGCTCAAGTGTCCTATTTTGGCCATACCTCAGAAAAACGAATAAATCACAGTGCGTTTTGGGGACGATATGTATATGCAGGGTGTCGACTCAATGAAGAAAACAAAATTCCCTGATATTCCCTGATTTCTAACCATTTTCAAAAATCCAGGTGCAGTGCCTACCCGTTTTTGACAACACAACCCCATCAGCTAAACTACTTTCCGTAGATATATATTAGTACTTTCTGGATGAAGCAACTCATGGACCTCTAACCCAGTACAATTTCAAATTGAATAAAGCGTTCGATACATTTTATATAATGCAAAAAAGACAGAAATCACGTGTTGCCAAAAACGGGAAGGAACCGCATTTTTTTAAATACATGCATTTTAAACGTAGTGAACGCCAGGTAAGCAGTAGCCGGGATTTTACTATGATTGAAAGTAACGTGTGAAGGAAACTGCAACCATCTCGATATAAATCTACCAAAAAGTCTTACGTAATCGTTTAAAGTTTTTAGCAAGTTCATGATCCGTTTCTTCTCAATACCTATCCTGCCATCCATTTGCTACAATTTGTTACCCTTAACCTTGAAATAGCCGCGATTAATCGGCCCCCGCTTTACTAACGTTAGTTTTAAGTAATTTTGTGATCTAGACTATGAATATTGGCTCCGCAAATCTACAGCAAATGAGCCAGGAAAAATAAACGCATTATAATAAATGATCCGTTTCATATCTCGATTTACTTACTGATACGAGAAGAGGTCCTTTGTATGGAATTTTGACACCCCTAGAAGTTCTTTTCTGACTGCTTCCGAACTCAACCCTAGGGGCAATAATTCATCCAGATCTCCTCCATCTTCATGGTCACAAGCAATTCTCGGTTAGCGATTTCCCGGTTTTTTTCCGTTTTTCTCCCGGAATTTTGGAAATTGTACCGGTTTAGCTATATACATTTGAATTAAGCATAAAACTGAATGCGATTGAACCGAAGATTAAATGGGTCATTTCTAAGACAGTAGCACCTTTGCTGGAGCTTGAGTTTGGTTCGAATTCTTTGCTTAAAACTGTACAGGCTTTAATTCGATTGATAGTTCTTTTCAAAATTCTTCTAAAATAAACTTGAAATTCTCTCAGGAAGTCACATGAAAATGTCTTTATAACAGTCCAGAAATTTTCTGTAGAACATTCCAAAAAATTATTAAAATTTGTCGAAGAGAATCGAATTTTAAACTTTTTCTAAGAATTCACTGGAGTATCCATTTTTTTTTATTTACTAGAAAATCTCCGAGAGTTCCCATGCAATTCACCTCAGACAAACAGTTAGAAATGACCTATTAGATTTTATCAGTAAAACTTATAATCCTCCTTCCCTGCCAACACCATCGGGTAGGGAAAATTCTACCGCCGAGAATTGTCTTCAAATTTTGCTCAGAATTATCTTAGAGTTCGCATCTAAATTTTTCTGGAAAACGCATGGAATTTTAGTTAAAATTCTCTAGGAATTCCATGCGCTTGAAATAATTCTCGAAATTTCCTAATAGATCGTCGCAGAACTATTTTGGGATTGTACCCTTAAAACTTTCTTAGAGATTTTCCTCAGGCTCTCAAAAATATTCTCTGAAATATCTAGGTGTAAGCTCAAGAATTCATTCTTAAATATGTTAAAAATTTGTTTTGGAAAAAAATCTAATATTCTCTTAAGTGTTCTTCAAAGTGACTGCATGCTGCAAATCTAGTCAAATTTTCAGCTTTTTCCGGTTTTCCCGGCCGCATTTTACATATGAAACACTTGTTTTTAATCCCATTATATTTGTTTTGCCTTGATCACAGTTTGAGATCCAGCTCTGCAAGAAGATTTTTCCGGATAGTAAATTCAACCAAAAGCTAATTCGCGAACAGTTTCCTCCAGTTGGAAATCGTAAAAACAGCGCTTTCACTACCAACATTATGCAAGTCAATTCAATTCAAATTGCAATAGCAGCAACATTACAATACTAAAACTTCACTAGCTTCTCAGGCCTCCAAAGAAGACCTAGAATACGCAATGCATGTCTACGTATATTTGAATCATAATTCAATCATAAAAGTGCTATTCCAAGCAATAACAAAAAATCTCCCAAGCAAGGCCATCATTCTAAATTCTCATTTAGTTAGTTCTGTGAGCTAATCAAGCGGTTAAGAACACAATAAGGAACAATAACTTGAAATATTCAGAAAAAAAAAATCATCATCTTTTCTTAAAGCTGGGCTTAGACAAGGCAAGTCAAGCAATCAACTCAGTTGAAATCTTGCCATTTAACTGACTTGATCAACTTACTCAAATTGAAAAAAAAAAAGTTGAACTAGGCTCAACTCTTTACGCCAATTGAATTCAACTGAGTTGATCAATGACTTGCCTTGTCTAAACCCAGCTTGAACTCGCGATATCTACTATATGCAGTCGGTTTATGTGTTTCTTCAAATTTCTAGTATAAGAACATAGCCGGTTGAACTCCAGCCGAATCTAGAACCGAACTACCGTTCATACTAGCGAAACCTAACCCACCTCTAAGCTCCTCCCCTTTTTTATACAGGGTTATCTGCAGGGGGAATCTGCTCCCAGACACCTGAGAGGATAACTCAGGTTGTGGGGATGGGAGAAGTAGTACCAACTTAAGATATCGAGATATTCGTTCCTGCTCGGGAAACGGTGTCCATACTACGTGGGATTTGACTCATTTTTTTACAACATGGAATTTCTCAAGGTCCTGACCAAATAGAGAGTTACTGTCTTGGGCAAAGTTGTTCAGGAGGTTATGGCCTATTGCTTAGTGCACAAAAGTTCAGAAATTTATCACTACTCAACGCTGGTATACACGTGCAATTCTGGCATATATAATATCTCGAGATCCTGACCAGCAGAAACTTTCTAGCTGAGTAAAAATGACTCACGCTCTGAGTAGTCTCATTGTCCATGCACACGAAAAAACAAGGATTTTCTGTTCTGACCCCGCGATAGGACATTTTGAAATTAGCCTAAAATGAAAGGGAGAATCTAAACTTTTACTTGGTGGAAGTTTCAGCGCTACTGATCTATTTAGATAATGTTTACCACCAGAGATACCATGTTACCGCTAATTTATCAAGGGTAAACATGAGGAACGACACACCCTAATTTATTTATCCACAAATCTGCATGGAAATCCCCACCAGTAAAAGAAATCCAGAACATATTTTTCGTATACTACTGAAGCTGACGCAAATTATGTTTTTATTTTATGGAACCCCCTCCCCATCACCTTCAAAAATTCCATGTTATAAAAATTACCCTACTGAAAATTGATGTTCCTATTCTCAAAATTTCTAAAAATATTTTTATTGTTATTTTTCATTATTTAATTTACTCAATACCTATTTTTTTTTCTTCACACGTTATTTATTTTTTGCCAAAGACTGTAACTTTCTAGCTGGTCAGGATCACGAGATATTTTATATACGAGATTTTCACGTGTATACTAGCTCTGCTTAGTGAGAATATTCTGAACTACTACACCAAGCAATAGGCTTTGACCCCCTGAACAACTTTGTCGAAGGCAGTAACTTTCTATCTGGTCAGGATCTCGAGATACTCCATGTTGTAGCCGATTAAGTTAAATTCCACATAGTATGAACACCGCTTACGCGGTTTCCATTTACATTTTTCCTATTTTCCGCATTTTCGGAAGTTTAATGCAATCAAAGTTGGGCTTGTTAAGTTCAAAACAAGTTTTTTGATGAATACACGTTGGTTTCAGATCAATTGGTAGCTCAGCAATAAAATGGCAATGGAAAATTTATTTGTGTTGTACAAAATTCAACAGCGCGAGTAACGGAGGGTTAGGCCCTTATTACCGATGTCACTTCACGGTGAAGTGACAACTTGTCACTCACGGTGAAGTGATTCCCATTTGATTTATACGGCAATCACTTCACCGTGAGTGACAACTGGTCACTTCACTTCGTTTTCACCGTAAACTGACACCCATAATAAGGGCCTTAATAGGGGAAATGCAGGTAATGTCGGCCTAAGTGTCCCTAATTTGGGCCCATACATAAATTCAGCAATCCACTAAATTTTCAAAAGCAACCAAAAATATCCATTAATAACGTCCCAATAACGCGTTCGTCTAGATAAAATTGATAAATAGCAGATTTTTAGC